GTTAAATTTCATCTGCCATTTTAGTGCCCAGTCCCACAATCTATCCAAATCCCTCTGCAGCAAAGCAATATCCTGCTCACATTTTATTACTTTACAAAGTTTTGTGTCATCTGCAAACACTGATACATGGCTTTCAATGCCTATTTCAAGATCATTTATAAATATGTTAAATAAAAGCGGTCCCAAAACAGAACCATGAGGGACACCACTTACCACTTTTGTCCAGCCTGAAAATTTACCATTAATGACCACTCGTTGTACTCTATACTTACGCCAATGTTCTACCCAACAACAAGAATATTCATCTAGACAAATTTATTTTAGTTTGAAGACTAACCTATTGTGAGGAACATATCAAATACCTTGGAAAAATCCAAGTAGATCCATCCACTGCAACACCCTGATCTATACTTCTACTTACTTCTTCGTAGAATGTAATTAGGTTAGTTTGACATGACCTATGTTTCATAAAACCATGCTGATTATTGCTAATAACAAAGTTCTTCCCAATGAATTCCTGAATATTATCCCTTAACCCCTTAAGGACCAAACTTCTGGAATAAAAGGGAATCATGACATGTCACATATGTCATGTGTCCTTAAAGGGTTAATAGCCCTTCAAATATTTTCCCAGTCACAGAAGTTAAACTCACAGGTCTATAATTTCCAGGCAATGATTTTTTAAATATAGGAACAACATCTGCCTTCCTCTAATCCTCTGGTACAATACCTGAAACAAAATAATCTTGAAAAATGTAATACAGAGGTTAAAGGACCACTATAGTGCCAGGAAAACATACTCGTTTTCCTGGCACTATAGTGCCCTGAGGGTGCCCCCACCCTCAGGGTCCCCCTCCCGCCCGGCTCTGGAAAGGGGAAAAGGGGTTAAACTTACCTTTTTCCAGCGCTGAGCGGAGAGCTCTCTGCCTCCTCTCCTCCTCCGATCCGCCCCGTCGGCTGAATGCGCACGCGCGGCAAGAGCTGAGCACGCATTCAGCCGGTCACATAGGAAAACATCCTCAATGCTTTCCTATGGACGCTGGCGTGCTCTCACTGTGAAAATCACAGTGAGAAGCACGCAAGCGCCTCTAGTGGCTGTCAATGAGACAGCCACTAGAGGGAATGGGGAAAGGCTTAACCCATTGATAAACATAGCAGTTTCTCTGAAACTGCTATGTTTATGAAAAAATGGGTTAACCCTAGAAGGACCTGGCACCCAGACCACTTCATTAAGCTGAAGTGGTCTGGGTGCCTAGAGTGGTCCTTTAATTTATTTCCCCACTTAGCTCCTTAAGTACTCGTGGGTGAATATCATCAGGCCCCAAAACTTTATTTACATTAATTTTCTTTAATAGCTGTAGCACCTTGTCTCAAGTTATCCAATCACAAGTTATCTGTATTTTTTTTTGCAGCAATCATTTGCATATCTCATGCCATAGGATCCTCATTAATATATGCTGATGAAAAATAGTTATTTAAAATTTCTGCTTTTTCCTGGTCTTCATTAGATAACAAACCCATCTCTGTTTCCAGTGTACCTACACTTTCATTTTTAGTTTTTTTAGAATTGATGTACTTGAAAAAAATTTGGGGGTTGGTTTTGCTTTCTTTGGCTATCAATTTCTCATTTTCTAGTTTAGCAACTTTAACTGCCTTTTTGCAAGCATTATTGGCTTCCTAACATCTTATATAGGATGCCTCTGAGTTGTCCGATTTAAATGCTTTAAATGCCCTTTTCTTTTAATTAATTTTTTATCTCTTTTTTTACTTCTCTACTAAGCCACATTGGTTTTAATTTGTTTCTTTTATATTTATTACCCAATGGTACATACTGAGAAATGTACCTTTCTAATATTTGTTTGAATAGTTTCCATTTATCCTAAGTGTTTTTATCTCTAAGGAGTTTATGCCAGTCAATATTTTGTAGAGCTGCCCTAATCTTATTGAAATTGGCTTTTTTTTTAATTATACGTTTTAGTATACCCCACATGCTTTTGCTTTTTTGAGTTCATTTAAAAAATTACCATATTGTGATCACTATTTCCCAAATGCTCCCCTACTTGAAGGTTGGTTAAAAGATCAACATTGTTTGTTATAACGAGATCCAGACAAGCATCCTTTCTAGTTGGTGCTTGTACCAGTTGTGACATAAAGGTGTCATTTAACACATTTAAAAACCTGATTCTCCTTGCTGAAGTACTAGTCCCTCTATCCCAATTTATGTCCGGGTAATTAAAATCTCCAATAATTAACGTGTTACCCCGATTTGCAGCTTTCTCAATTTGCTCTAACAGCTGTTCTTCTTCATTAATATTTACATTAGGTGGTTTATAACATATCCCAACCGATAACTGATTTCCCTTTGTTTGCCCCAAGCAGATATCTACCCATAAAGCTTCACATTTTGCTCGTCACACTCCACATGTACAGTGCCAGCCACCATTTTCTATTTGTGAGAAGATGGTAGAGCAACCACTTAAATCTTGTCCACATGTAAGTAAAAGGTTTTCTGAAATGGAAATGCATCAACAGGCAGTTGACTTTCAAAATGTTGGCTAGAATCACCATATTGCTAAAAAAAAAATCTCCAGTTCAGTGGAATTGGAGATTTTCATACTTGCCTTTGACCTTGTGAATTATTATTATTAGCATTTATATAGCGAATTTAGTTGAGAACATTGCTCATGTTATTATTTAGACCTCTAGCCATTAAGGGAAATACTTTATAGAGTGTTTTTTTTTACTCTAAAACACATTGGCAGTGACAAGACATGATTAAATCATCTTTATTTCTTTGTTTAAAAAAATATATAAACAGTAGAACAGCTAAGTTCATTTTCTTTTGCACATTTTGCATTGTAGTGACACTGAAAGGACCACTCCACACCCCAAAAGCACTTCAGCTTGCTTGATTGGTTAGTTTCCTGTGAAGAGACTGCAAGTATCTTCCAGGAAAAAGGGGGAGGGCTTGCTAAGGCTGCAGTTCATAAGAATTGCAAGCTCTTTTAAGATATACTTCATGCATGTATTCATTGGGGGCTATATCTACTAAACAGTGATTTCCTTTTTTTTTCATGTGGGACGTAGAGTGCTCCTTTTAATCATAATCCTATAATAGCAAGCACATGGTAGATTTTTCAAAATAGTTATTTATTTATTTATTTATTTTTTACCTTCACGCAGTATGATCTTTATTTATAGCAATCAATATTTGGATACAGAAAAACCTGACCTCAATAGGTGTATGTTTTTGATTTACATTAGGGAAATATTTCAATGGAATTGATTTGTACATGTACCCTACCTCACCCTACACTGAATATATTAAAAAGAAAATTCAGGATGAAAACATTATTAAAAAAAAAAAAAGGTTTGAACATACCTTCTCATTTTTGTGGAAGCATTCATATAAAACACAAACTACAAATACTTTATTGGATTATTTCTGGTTATTGAGGAATATGGAATTATTATGCCCTCTAGTGGACAAGCTTGCCAAATGACCGTTGACACACATCATGTGGGGATATATTTAAAAAAATTAAAGCATATTTGAATTCATCTTTAAATTAGTAGTATTGCCTCATTATGGCCTCAATTTAATATTTTTTGATAAGCTTTTAAAGCGATTTAATAGTTTGAAACATTTTTTATTGTAATATTTTGATATATTTCTTGATAGTTTCATATATAGTAGTTTGAGGACCCCTGGGATAAAGTGTTGAATTATGACTAGGAGTATGAGTAGGATTAAGAGTAGGATTAAGAGTTGGATTGGGGGCAAGATTAGGGGAAAATGTATAGATGTGGGTTATCATTGTAATCAAGAACAGTAGCAGAATACACATGTGGGGTGTTTACAGTTGTGGGAAATGGTCTGTGAACTTCCCTAAAATAAAAAGTGTAAAAAAACACAAAGTGAAATGCTTTGATGTAGGTTTCTGATAAAATGCTTAAATTAAAAGTGCCGCAATGCACTTGGTTACATGTACATTCAACAAATATATACTTTTGTGAATTAATTTTGGATTCTGTGACTACTAAAAAAAGTTGTAAGCTTGACATGCCAAATTGTGCAAAGTTTGAACTCACCAAATATTCAATATTTGTTGGGTTTTTTTAGAAATTATTTGAAATCCTAGACATACTGGGTATTTAACCCCTTAATGCTGTTACGGCGTTCTATGACGTCCCGCTTTAAATGGGCTTTAAAACCGTTGCGGCGGCATAGAACGCCATAACGGCTTGCAGCCCCAGGAGCTCAGAGGTACTTACCTCTGCCGCGATCCTCTTCGGGAGGACTGCCTGACAGCCCAGGCAGCCCTCCCCCGGCAAATTTGGCCCCCGGGGGCCATGTGATCGCTCTCAAGGAGCGATCACATGGCCCTCTATAGCTGGCTGTGGTTCTGCCAGCAGGGGGACTGTCTGAAATGTCAGACAGTCCCCCTACTGCTGGGAAGTGTAAAAAAAAATGATAAAACATGTTTTAAAATAAATTAAATGTATTTATATATAAATATAAAATATATATTATAAATATAATATATATAAATCTTATATATATGTACGTCATACGTAATGTATTTTAATAAGTACATATATTAGTATTAAAATACACTTAGAATGGCGTTAGATATATATAAGATATATATTATATATATAATACATATATATATATTTTATATTTATATATGCACGTTTAATTACAATAATAAATAAATAAAATAATAAAATAAATAAATAAAATATTTTAAAAAATTAAATAAATTATATATACATATGTAATTTCATTCTAACTGTATTTTGTTATTAATATATATATATATATATATATATATATATATATGTAACAAAATACACTTAGAATGACATTCTATATCTACCTGTCTATATATAAAATACAAATAACCGCAAATATATATATATACAGATAAAAAGAAAAAATAATCCTGCACTCCATGAAATATAAAATATACTTGCCCGGTGCTTGTCAGGCAAAAATACAAAGATAGATGATCAAGATAGCACTCCCAGGACTTAAATCAATATAAAACTTAACTTTTAATCTTCTTTGCAAAGAAGATTAAAAGCTAAGTTTTATATTGATTTAAGTCCTGGGAGTGCTATCTTGATCATCTATCTTTGTATATACAGATAAATATATATAATTACATAAATAACTACATAAGTGTGCACGTAGACTTTAAATACATATATATGTATATATATTAAAATTCTATGTGTATATTTAAGTAATATTTTAACATAATTATGGGATTTAATTAGTTAAAATTTGATTGACATGCCTGACAACCCAGGCAAAAAGTGTAGAGAATTTGAATTGCAAGCACTATATTTAACCCTGTAACTTTCCAAGACACCATAAAACCTGTACATGGGGGCTACTGTTTTACTCGGGAGACTTGATTGTTTCTTAATTCTTATAGATTTCTTTTCTCCTCAAATGTTAAGTTTAGGCTATATTTGGAAAGATATATAAGATGAAACCCCTTTCCAAATATAGCCTAAACTTAACATTTGAGGAGAAAAGAAATCTAGAAGAATTAAGAAACAACCCACGAATAGTCATTAAGCCGGCTGATAAGGGAGGGGGAGTGGTAATAATGGATAAGGTAAAATACTTACAGGAAATAGATAAACAACTTCAAGATAGTAATACGTATAAAAAATAAAAAAAAGACCCTACACAAGAAATAAAAAAATTATCAAACTTTCCTAGAACAAGGAGAAAGTGATGATATTTTAAATAAGGGAGAATTAGCTTTTTTATCTTTTGACCACCCTCGTATACCAGTGATATATGTATTACCTAAGTTACATAAAGATCCCATTAATCCACCGGAACGCCCTATAATATCAGGCATAAACTCGATTCTATCCCTGTTATCACAATATTTAGACTTCCATCTTCAACCTCTGGTTAAAAGCTGTCCCTCTTATCTCCAGGACTCAATGAGTTTACTCAAGATCTTAAATGATTTTAAATGGGAAGACGATTATCTCCTTATTACATCTGATGTAACCAGCCTGTACACCATTATTAAACATGAAAAGGGATGTGAGGCTAAGAGTTTTTCCTACAAGAATCTAAGAAATATAATGAAGCCCAACAGAATTTTATTTTAAATGGTATACAGATGATTTTAAGCAATAACTATTTCTGGTTTGAAGAAGATTTTTATTTGCAGATTAGAGGTACTGCTATGGGGACCAGGTTTGCACCAAGTTATGCTAACCTCTTTATGGCATATTGGGAACGTACTTTCATTTATCGAGGACATGACTGTGGTGCAAACCTGGTCCTATACAAAAGATATATAGATGATATTTTTATTATCTGGAAGGGATCTGAGGATCTTTTTAATAATTTTTTTAACTCTCTTAATTGCAATGATTGGGGAATTTGTTTAACAAAGTGTGTGAGTGACACAAACATTGACTTTTTCGATCTTAATATTCATGTTTGTAATAATGTTTTAACCACTCGCACTTTTTTTAAACAAGTCGATTTCAATAGTTATATTGAGGTTAGTAATTGCCATCATAAACCCTGGTTGACTAATATTCCTAGGGGACAATTTTTAAGATTACACAGGAATTGTACAAAAAAAAAGGATTTCTTTGATCAGGCTGAATTTTTAAAGAAACAATTCATACAAAACGCATATCATAAGAAAGATTTAGATACCCAAATTCAGGAGATATCATCTTTGAAAAGATCTCCTCTTTTAAAATATAAAGGAAAAAAAACTTTCTGACAGATAATGAAAAGAAACAGATTCCTCTTATTTTTAATTACTGTAGCAACATAGGTGCTATTAAAAAAATTATAAATAAAAATTGGGATATTTTAACTCAGGACGAAGAAATACAGGAATTTCTAGGTCCTAAGCCCAAATTCATTTTTAGAGGTGCAAAAAAATTTAAACAAATTTTAACCAGTAGTTTTTTAGAAAAAAACATCTCAAGATAATGGTAATTTCCTAACAAATTGGTCGAAGAAACAACAAGGTTTTTACCATTGTGGGATGTGTAACTCATGTAAGAAAACAAACATAAAAGAAAAAAATATAATTACGTTTAATTCTTTTAATACTAAAAAAGAATTTAAAATTAGATCTATGATCATGTCATTCAAATAACGTTATATACTTATTGAATTGTACATGTGGCCTCCAGTATGTAGGCAAGACATCAAGACCTTTGAAAGTCCGAATAAGTGAACATGTTAGAAATATTTAAAAAGGATTTATAAACCATAGCATATTGAAACACTTTTTGGACAAACATGAGTCAGATCCAAAAATTTTTAATTTTTGCGCTATAGAGAAAATTGAGCCTCACTGGAGAGGAGGAGATTGAGTACCCAAGAGGTAAAATGGATCTTTGAGATGCGTACTTTATCACCCTTGGGTCTCAATATCGATTTTGAAATTAATAGTATTTTATGAAAGATTTTTTATCTTCTATTACTATTTATCATGATTCAGTTTTTAACTATATTTCTTAAATATTTATTTTATTTCTTACTATCTTAGATATGCTGATAAGGTCAGCTAAGAAGTCTTTTTAAACTTCATGTTACAATTCATTAGAATTTGGATTCACCCCTTTCCTCCTTTTATGCTTTCCCCTTTAAATACACATACATTGATTGAATAGTATGTAAAAAAATGAAATGTACTTTATGCAAATATTTTATATAGATGAAATATAAAATTCTATGATAAAAGATGTAGACCAATATCTTTTATTTTTGTTGTCTTCTTTCTCTGTAATTTGGATACCTAAACGATATGAACTGAGGGCATTTTGCCCTATTTGTAATGGACGTTCCGTATGCTACAAACGAGTTCCAAAAATCACGTGATCAACATGAAATCATAACATACACGTCACAGGAAGTGACGTATCGGGACTTACCAAGCCAAAACCGCAGGATGTGATGTTCTTGGAGGAACTGAACTGGACAGACCAAAACTTTGTATAGGAAATGGAGAGGTGTATCGGACATGTTGGGGAGGCTTAGAGGGATATGTTCATAACCAAAGGTACGGCCATATTTTTTTTGGCGTGACACTTCCGCCTATGACCATACTCCTTGATATATAAGGGCATTCAGGCTCATTTTTAAGCTAGATGCACTTGAGAAAGACCTATTTAAAGGGGCCATTTAAAGTAAATAGGCATTAATTGAATTGCATTATCTTAGGCTTTGGTTGGCTGAAATTGCAGTGAGTGCATATTGCATGCCAAAAAAAAACACCATTATGTTAAAACTCTATCTTTATTGGAGCCCCTGTAGTGATGAAATCCCCAAAAATGGGAATAATAATTTCACAGGGACACCAACAATAGATAGAACTGCGATTCAAAAAGGCAGAAAGTGCAAAATAGAATTTTAAAATAATGGGATATATTTTATTGTTCTGAATTTTACAGTATTTATTCCCTACGTTTTGGTGTAAGTATAATCCGCACATGACAAGTGCTCTTAAGAAGGTTTTTTTGTTGGTGCTAACTCTAAAAGTGAAAAAGAATACTTTTTAGAACATTGTCGTTGATGGTTGATGCACTAAAAGTGCTTAAATATTTTTTATGATGTTAGTATTTGTGACGGAGCTCCTGTACTCAGACCAAGTACATCCACCCAGTCTGCTTCCTAGCCACTTGCAAGGACCCTGGAACACTTCAGCCCCCAGTGGCCGAAGCTTGACTAGGGTCCTTCTGGAGCTTTTCCACCTGACCAGGCTGCAGCTCTCCTTCCAGGCAGGTATCGTCCCATCTGCCTCATACACTGCAACCCTGCTTCCAGGCAGGTATTGTCACGGCAAGGGTGCATAATTCATTGTTGCACTTTGGAATATTGTCCTTTAATGTAATTTGTGTAGAGCATATATGAACTGGTTGCCTGGTAGAAGTGGTATTGTCAATGTCAAAAGGGCTTAATTTCATTGTATGGGAGGTCAGAAGGTTTATAGCCTTAATTCCTTTTTGAAGCTGGGACCGCAACAGAGCTACTCTGTAAGGTGTAAGAAGTCACACATACGTGGCCTGGCAGTCTGGTATGAATATAAACTAACTCTTTTGTTTGCCATATGCCTAGATTCCCTCTTAGATAGGGGACATTTGACATATTAATGGCCATTAACCTTGTGTTCCAGCATCATATCCAAAAGAAACATTAATACTTACCCACAGATTAATAATTAAGCCTCATTTTTATTATATTTAGAATGGGACAAGCACAGTCTTTTAATCAACCCTAAGCATGAGTTGCATAACTTTCACCATTGGGCAGGATTGTGATGTCCGCTATATTGGGTCACAAGTAAGAAGTGTAAAATATCTATGGAATGGAAAAATGGTAACACATGCATAGATGTAATTATTATTTCTGTGGCAAGTACAAAAGAGGAGATAGAAAAAAAAGTTTCTATTTGAATTGATGTTGGTCAGGAACACAAGGGGGTGGTCACTTATTGTCTCCATAGGTACGCCTTATCTCCACCTTTTGGGCGAGGCTTGTAATCCACAGGTTCTATATCCAATGATACTGAGATGTGTATTGTACTTACTTGGGGACAAAATCAAATTTTGAGTGATTTACCATTTTCTTTGCCAGAGACCCCGTGGGCAGAATCTTTACTTTGAAAACCTAAAGAGTAAGTGATTAGGACTTCTGTTATTTTATATCTTTTGTTTTTATCTGTTGTTGGTGTAAATAATTTGATTGTCATCTATATTTTTGTATGCACTGTGACTATTTTTTGCTCGTAATAAATATTCTTTTATTTATTTTATTCTATCCATCAAATAGCACTCTGACCGCAGTCCACTCTTTCAAATACCTGGGTATGTTGTTAGACCCCAATCTATCTTTTGGCTTCCAAAAAAACTTGCATCTAAACTTTATCCAAAACTAGGTGCCCTGTACAGAAACAAATCCTGCCTAAGCCCTACAGTAAGGGAAAAGATTGTACAGCAAATGCTGATGCCAATCATTAATTATGGGGATGTAGTATATGCACCTGCACCGCAAACCCACCTTAATAAACTTAATACATTGTATAACTCATTCTGCCGATTTGTGCTACAATGTAAGTACAGGACCCACCATTGTGACA